TATAATTTTTGCGCCAGTCCAGTTTGTTTGGGCAACTGATAAGGTGCCTATGACTGGCTATAGGGCAGGGCATACCAAAAGCAAAAGGAGGACTTCAAAAGAATCTCCAAACACCTATCCACTGAATCCTTAAAAGAGGGGATACACTCAAAAGAAATAGTAGATTGATCATTCAGTGCAAGAATGGCAGAGTGGGGTTCAAAAGGATACAAGGCATCAAAGTTGTCAGGGGTTAAGAGGCAATCATTGGATAAGGGCCAACTTGCCAGGGTAACAAAAGGCTTTCTACAAAAAAAAAATCTTCTTTGTTTGCTTTTAGGTACAAGAGGGTTTTTATATAGCACCAGGTGCATCTATTACGAGGCTAGTACTAACTGCCTCAAATCAATGAGTCCCACAGTAGACAGCATATGACATAAAACTTCTTATAATTGTGGAAGTGAAAATTTTCAGTTGAGTTTCCTAAAATGTCAGCCCCCCCTTGTTTTCTGTCATTGTAAGTGCACAAGGCAAATATGGTTGTGGCCCATGAACATAGTTAGGGAGAAGAGAGGGAGCAGAGTGTTTATGGCTCATAAACCCTGGTTATACCAGAGTAGCAGTGAATTTTGCTTCAGTCAGACAGGCCACATGGTGCACATCTGTAAGGAAGAAAATGTTGGTGTTATACCTTACTCTGCAAAAAGGAAACTATCAATCTGAGTGGAACTTAGAGTTTCCACAGGGCCCGCAGAAGTCTTGCTGTTGTCTGCTCCATGTGCTCCCTTCACCAAGCACCTGTAATTCAACACTGCCAAATGAGGATCACCTGCAAGGTACTCACAGAATGTATGTGGAGCGAGGAAATTGAGCATGTCCAGTATGAGGGTATCTCAATAACGCATACACCGAGTTTCAGCGGTTTTGAATATATATGGTATTCGGCAACAGGTGGGACAACAATCAGCTTCCATTGTCAGCAGAAAATGGCCAGAAGGGCACAGTTACAAGTGTTATTAAAAACACTACATCACTAGCCCCAGAAGAACTTGTGCCAAAAAGACCACCAAATGTAAACAGGTAAAACGCTATAATGTTACCTATAAGGCTAAATAATGAGACAACACCCCGGTCACATTGGGTGCGACTTGGAATGAGATTTGCATGCCATGCGACTTGAAAATCGTATGCCAAGTCGCACCCTATTGTTCGCTATTAGGGCAGTCATATCGGTGCGGTTCCAATTAGCCATTACCAGACAATGGAAATCTAATGAGCCACCTGGTATACTAGAGGTCAAACAACACCTGGCAGAAACTTAATAAGAAATATGTATTGCATACAGTAAATTTCAAAGGCACAAACTTCCTGCACAATGGACTCCTTGGAAACAGATTACAGGGCGCACCTAATTAAACATAGATTAGATGTACTGCCTTTGTGTGATTGCTTATCTTCCTGATGGTACATAGGTGGTTGCATCAGGATGAAACACAGCAGATTTTATATATCTTCTCTATTTGGTTTACTGTTACTCTAGGAGTTTCTTTCCTAGTGGTACCTCTGTCAGACATAACAGTTAAGTACATACACTCACCGGCCCCTTTATTAGGTACACCTGTTCAATTGCTTGGTAACACAAACTGCTATTCAGCCAATCACATGGCAGCAACTCAATGCATTTAGTCATCTAGACAAAGTGAAGACAATTTATTGAAGTTCAAACCGTACATCAGAATGGAGAAGAAAGGGGATTTAATTGACTCTTAATATGACATGGTTGTTGGTGCCAAACAGGCTGGTTTGAGTATTTTAAAAAACTGCTGATCTACTGGGATTTTCACGCACAACTATCTCTAGGGTTTACAAAGAATGGTCCGATAAGAAAATATCCAGTGAGCGGCAGTTGTGTGGACAAAAATGCTTTGTTGATGTCAGAGGTGAATGGGAAGACTGGTTTGAGATAATAGAAAGGCAACAGAAACTCATGGGAATATGAGGAATGTTTCCAACACCTTGTTGTATCAACACCACAAAGAATTGAGGCAGTTCTGAAGGAAAAAGAGGGTCCAACCCAGTACAAGCAAGGTGTAACTAATAAAGTAGCCAGTGAGTGTATATGCCAATTGTGATTAATGTGTAGGAATATCTTCTACAAAGGTAATGTAGACAATGTTGAGAATGCCTTGCATCGTATGAATCAACTACAGTGGTTATAAGTCTACACACCCCTGTTAAAATGTAAATTTCCTGTGATGTAATTAGACAAATCATTTTAGAACTTTTTCCACCTTTAATGTGACCTATAAACTGTACAACTCAGTTGAACCACAATCTAAAATCTTTTAGGTGGAAGGAAGTAAACAGAAAACTAAAATATGGTTGCATAAGTGTGCACACCCTTAAACGAATACTTTGTTGAAGCACCTTTTGATTTCATTACATCACTCAGTGTTTTGGGGTATGAATCTATCAGCATAGCACATCTTCTTGACATCTGCTCACTCTTTCTTGCAAGAGCACTCCAAATCTGTCAGATTGCGAGGGCATCTCCTGTGTACAGTTCTCTTCAGATCACCCCACAGATTTTCAATTGGATTCCGGTCTGGGCCATTACAAAAAAAACTTTAATCTTCTTCTGGTGAAGTCATTCCTTTGTTGATTTGAATGTACTCTTTGGGTCGTTGTCATGCTGAAAGATGAAGTTCCTCTTCATATTAAGCTTTCTAACAGAAGCCTGAAGGTTTTGTGCCAATATTGATTGGTATTTGGAACTGTTCATAATTCCCTCTACCTTGTCTAAGGCCCCAGTTCCAGCTGAAGAAAAACAGCCCCAAAGCATGATGCTGCCACCACGGTTCACTGTGGGTATGGTGTTTTTTGTGATGTGCAGTGTTTTTGTGCCAAACATATCTTTTGGAATTATGGCCAAAAAATTCAACCTTGGTTTCATCAGACCATAACACATTTTCCCACATGCTTTTGGGACAGTTCAGATGTGATTCTGCTAAATTTAGCCAGGCTTGGATGTTTTTCTTTGTAAGAAAAGGCTTCCGTCTTGCTACTCTACCCCATAGCCCAGACATTTGAAGAATACAGGAGATTGTGGTCACATGTACCACACAGCCAGTACTTGCCAGATATTCCTGCAGCTCCTTGAATGTTGCTGTAGGCCTCTTAGCAGCCTCACAGACCAGTTTTCTTCTCGTCTGTTCATCAATTTTGAAGGGACGTCCAGTTCTTGGTAATGTACACTGTTACGCTATATTTTCTACACTTGATGATGACTGGCTTCTCTGTGTTCCATGGTATATCTAATGCCTTTGAAATGCTTTTGTACCCTTCTCCTGACTGATACCTTTTAACAATGAGATCCCTCGGATGCTTTGGAAGCTCTCTGCGGACCATGGCTTTTGCTGTAGGATGCGACAAAGAAAATGTCAGGAAAGATCTACTTGAACAGCTGAACTTAATTTGGGGTTAATCAGAGGCACTTTAAATGATGGCAGGTGTGTACTGACTCCTATTTAACTTGATTTTGAATGTGATTGCTTAATTCGGAACACAGCTACAGCCCCAATTATAAAAGAGGGTGTGCACACTTATGCCAACCACATTATTTTCGTTTTTTTAGGCTTACCCCCCCCCCCCCCTTAAAAGATTTCAGTTTGTTTTTCAATTGCGTCGTACAGTTTATAGGTCACATTAAAAGGTGGAAAAAGTTCTAAAATGATTTATCTTGGTCTCATTTTTTTCCCAACACAGAAACCTGACATTTTAACAGTAGTGTGTAGACTTTTTATATCCACTATATACATATATCTCTGCTTTGTACAGTGGATTTTATCCTTGCTATAGTCTGACAATGTTTGTACTTAATTTTGTAAAATTCAATAAAGAGTATTGAAATTAAAATAATAAGAGTGTAAGTCTGCATAACCTGTGCCTTTGTAAATGGCACAGTGTATGGCACTGTAGTATATCTAGTAGGTTAAGAATGTGGCATATGCTACAGATCCATCAAGACATGTATAGCCAGGAACCGATATGTATAAAAAGGTAGGAAACCTGTCCTGTCCTACTTTATCCACGTTGCTAATCAAGTCCATGGGGTTTTCAGTGTCTGGGTGCCAAGGGAATGCAACACAACCCTGGACCTGCACAGCACTCTGAGGATAACTACACTTATTGTACCTTTTGACAAAGTTGAGCACCGAAATCTGGATCCAGTGCCTGAAGTAAACATTACAGGCTTATAAAAAAAAAAAAAATTACAAGCTGGCCCTGCTACTGCAAGATTCGGTTATAGTTCCCCAGGCTATACTTGAAGGTAATCAATCTGGAAACTGCTATTGAGCCATAAAGACAGACAATAAGCAGTCAAAGGAAGTAACAAATCTGGTGAAAATTAGAAGGAAATACTTCTCCAAGAGAAGAAGACATCTATCACACTAGCAAAAAACTGAAGCCTCACAGAATGGATTAGGTTACATGCATACACTGAGGGTCGGATCCAGGAAAGCTTTGCCACTGTCCAATGAACTGAATGTTGAGGCATTTAATCCAGTCTATGAATTGATTCTTGTACTATACAATAAAGTATTCACCTACATCACCGCAGGAAATGGAAATCACAATGAGATATAATCCACAGATTAAAACGTGTGGTTGTATACCCATTGCCAAGCAAATCTAAATATGTAAACATGCATACACTTAACTGTAAATACAGAGCAGTGTTATCGGTGGGGTGGGGAGAGTATTACATTGTATGCGGGTGAATAGTAAGTTAGCCCACTACATGTTAGGTTAGTGGCACCCTTCGCTGCAGCATACTAGAAAAATAAAAATTACATACATGCTCAACATGAAGCACACTTGTTCAGGTTTTACTATAACACAGAAAATTAAAAAAAAAAAAAAATTGCTACAAAAGAGAAGTTGTTTTGCTTATTTCTTCTTGAACAAAATATATTTTTACATTTCAAAATAAAGGAGTCATTCTAAAAAAGCAAGCATTTTTATTTACATTTTTGTTTAACACCTTTTTCCTTCTCAAATTCAGCAATCTGATTGAGAATATTCAATAAATTCCCAGGCAAAGCCTTATTAGCAGCTGAATGACTGTTCTGTGCTGTGTCATTCCCTTCTGTTTCTTCTGGTTGAGATGATCTTCTGCTGACTTGGGCAATTTCTTGAGAAGACCGATTGCTACTCCAACTAGGCCTTCTTTCTCCGATGTCCTGCTCTGACCGATATTTACTCTGAAAAGAGTCTGTCTTGCTTCTGCAAGGTTTTTGTGTTTCTTCACGTCGATTAGAGCAATACATTTTCTCTTTACCTTCAGGTCTTTTGAGGCATGAATCTGTGGAATCTCTCCTTTCAGACTTGTACTTACTACCTGAAGCTGTACTGTAGGACATTCCACTGCTGGCCTGAGTCTTTACACTGCTGTAAGAATCTCTTGAATCTTCAGACCTACCTCCCCCAGGATCTATAAATTCCAAGGAAGAAGATGACAAGGAACGATACCTTGTTTTACCCTCTTGAGATCTACGCTGACCCTGTCTATCCCTTTCTTCATAACCTCTACGACTGTCAAGTTTGAGAAAGGAGGCAGAGGTGTCTGCAGGAGGGGTACATACTTCCTCTTGGTTATGGGCTGGCACATTAGAAGAAGGCTTCTTTGAATGGCTGGATGATTTTGAATGCTTTCTATGTCTCTTCCTCTTTTTTTCTTTTTTATGGCTGCCAGAAGAAGTATCCGAAGAAGAAGAGTCTGAGGAAGAACTACTTGAAGACAAAGATGAAGATCTTCTTTTACGTTTCTTCTTTCTATTACCATCAAAGCAATTAAATTAAAAAGCTTAGTAGCCAATATGTTTAGTATTGTAATAACCATTTGCCTGCACGGTCCTTTAAATCATGCTCACCAACTTAAATGATCCTTGGCTAAAAGGCTTCCAAAACACCTCAGAGAGTTGGGACATAAAAAAAAAAAAAAAAAAAGTGGATCTAACATTAACCTTTAAGGGGAGATACAGTCAGGTCCATAAATATTGGGACATCGACACAATTCTAACCTTTTTGGCTCTATACACCACCACAATGGATTTGAAATGAAACGAACAAGATGTGCTTTAACTGCAGACTGTCAGCTTTAATTTGAGGGTATGTACATCCAAATCAGGTGAACGGTGTAGGAATTACAACAGTTTGCATATGTGCTTCCCACTTATTAAGGGACCAAAAGTAATGGGACAGAATAATAATCATAAATCAAACTTTCACTTTTTAAAACTTGGTTGCAAATCCTTTGCAGTCAATTACAGCCTGAAGTCTGGAACGCATAGACATCACCAGACACTGGGTTTCATCCCTGGTGATGCTCTGCCAGGCCTCTACTGCAACTGTCTTTGGTTCCTGCTTGTTCTTGGGGCATTTTCCCTTCAGTTTTGTCTTCAGCAAGTGAAATGCATGCTCAATCGGATTCAGGTCAGGTGATTGACTTGGCCATTGCATAACATTCCACTTCTTTCCCTTAAAAAACTCTTTGGTTGCTTTTGCAGTATGCTTTGGGTCATTGTCCATTTGCACTGTGAAACGGCGTCCAAAGAGTTCTGAAGCATTTGGCTGAATATGAGCAGATAATATTGCCCGAAACACTTCAGAATTCATCCTGCTGCTTTTGTCAGCAGTCACATCATCAATAAATACAAGAGAACCAGTTCTATTGGCAGCCATACATGCCCACGCCATGACACTACCACCACCATGCTTCACTGATGAGGTGGTATGCTTAGGATCATGAGCAGTTCCTTTCCTTCTCCATACTCTTCTCTTCCCATCACTCTGGTACAAGTTGATCTTGGTCTCATCTGTCCATAGGATGTTGTTCCAGAACTGTGAAGGCTTTTTTAGATGTCGTTTGGCAAACTCTAATCTGGCCTTCCTGTTTTTGAGGCTCACCAATGGTTTACATCTTGTGGTGAACCTCTGTGTTCACTCTGGTGAAGTCTTCTCTTGATTGGTGACTTTGACACACATACACCTACCTCCTGGAGAGTGTTCTTGATCTGGCCAACTGTTGTGAAGGGTGTTTTCTTCACCAGGGAAAGAATTCTTCGCTCATCCACCACAGTTGTTTTCCGTGGTCTTCCGGGTCTTTTGGTGTTGCTGAGCTCACCGGTGCGTTCCTTCTTTTTAAGAATGTTCCAAACAGTTGTTTTGGCCACGCCTAATGTTTTTGCCATCTCTCTGATGGGTTTGTTTTGTTTTTTCAGCCTAATGATGGCTTGCTTCACTGATAGTGACAGCTCTTTGGATCTCATCTTTAGAGTTGACAGCAACAGATACCAAATGCAAATAGCACACTTGAAATGAACTCTGGACCTTTTATCTGCTCATTGTAATTGGGATAATGAGGGAATAACACACACCTGGCCATAGAACAGCTGAGAAGCCAATTGTCCCATTACTTTTGGTCCATTAACAAGTGGGAGGCACATATCCAAACTGTTGTAATTCCTACACCGTTCACCTGATTTGGATGTACATACCCTCAAATTAAAGCTGACAGTCTGCAGTTAAAGCACATCTTGTTTGTTTCATTTCAAATCCATTATAGTGGTGTATAGAGCCAAAAATGTTAGAATTGTGTTGATGTCCCAATATTTATGGACCTGACTGTATATTAAACTAGCAATTCCTGTAAATATCAGACACCTCAACATTGCTTTTGTTTCCTAAGTTTTCTGGCTCTGGAGCATTGGGAGCTTCTCACATAGAAGCACAATAGGGCAGACACTCCAAAATAATTTAAGCAACACAGCTGGCATTCCCAGATTATTTTTATGCTGCACATAGATATCCAACGGCCACATTCACAAGGGCACAGAGGCTCATACAGTTTTAGTGAAGCATTTGTTTTTGCATCTGTTGAAGTACAGAACTGCATGTACGCAACGTATGCACAGCCCAGAAAGTCTGCATTCAGGGCCAAGCACCTGTCCCTGCATGCCTGTCAAACAAGGCTGTGCAAGTGAGCCTGTACAGCTGCTGCATTTATATTCATTTACATAAGCTGCCAGCATGCGGTTCAGGTCTCTGCGCCTATGTGAACGAGGCCTTCAGATGGATAGACTGGGTTACCCTAGCTCCAACTTTATTATGAAAAAGTTCACCTTTAGTACATTTTTAGTTCATTTCATTAAACTGCAATAAAGTGTAAAAAAAAAAAAAAAAATAAAACCAAACCTGTAATAAAGTGTATATCATGCAGAAATCTCCGAAAGGTCAGTTTAGAGCAAATATACAGGAAGTGGATACCAAGAGCAACACCCACCTGGTTGCTACATTAGAATGAATGTCTAATGGTAGATACACCATTAAAATGTGCTACAGACAAACCTTTGCTTGGACCCTTCATGCCGAGTTTAAATATCTGTACCTTTTCTCTTCTCTTAGTAGTTTACGCAGTTTTTCTGCACTTGTTTCTATTTTCTTTTCTTTGCCTTTCTCTTCCTTCTCATCAGATTTCTCTCTTTTATCCAAAGATTTCTTTTTTTATCATCAGCAAACCCATAAGTATCACAGGTACAAAGTGTTATATGTTGTCAACAGAAAATTGAAAGTAGTAAGAATATATTTCATACAAACCAGTTTACATGACCCAGGTCCAATACAGTTGGTAGTTTTGGAATCACAATCCAGTTTCAATAGGGTAGAGCAATAAAGGATATTCACAGCCACAGCACCAACAGTTCAGAGCAGGGGGAGACACATGCATAAAGACACATAATCAGTATTACAGGATAAAACTTTCTTTCACTATTAACAGAAATCACATAATAGAAATAACGAATACAATTGCAAAATTACTAGACTGAAAATTACATTAAAACATCAATCTGTCTATTGCCAGTCTAGTTTTGTCTCCATTTAATGTATGTGGCAGTGTAGTATCCTTGTGTGTGCCATTTACCCCATGTCCCAATAATTAACTGCATAAATAAACATTCAAATGGGATTGGATGCAGCTAAGAATGCAAACGGCAATATGGACGTGTCTTATTTGGGTGTAGGCTGCATGCCTGATGTCACGGAGGATAAGCTATCCCTATTTAGGCTGGTTACACATGGGTCAAAAAGTGGGTGAAAACCATCTGTTCATCAGGAACAGCCAGCCTTTCAACCCGTGTGTACAGCTTCTCATCCAATGGAAGGCTGTCTCACATCCAGCTTCTGTCAACTAGGCAAGCTGGAAAACCAGCATCCAATCGGCTTTTAATCAGCTCTAGCAACCAATGATTGTGAATGCTGATCAGTGTGTCCTGGCAGGGGAGTGGTCCCCCTGTCAGAACACAATAGCTTAGTGGGGAGATCGCTGCACTAACATCGGATGTGTTAGTATGGCGATCTGTAAGTTTTTTTTTTTTTTTTGTTCGGTCAGCTGGGTTGAACAAAAATAAACTTCCTGTGTGTACCACCCAGCATTACAGACAGCGAATGCAGCTAAGCACACTATCACCTCATTAGCATGGATAAAATAAGAATTCTTAAAGCTTCTGGTTTTTCAAAGTCTGGACAATAAATGTCATGTAAGTGCAAATATGTTGCTCCTATTTGTCATTTGTTTGAAGTGAAAGAACAGAAAATAAAGGATCACCTGTATACACTGGCGCACTTTGTTCAATGCCTCCTCAGCTTCCGTAAAGGTATCGTCTATAGCCAAAGCTTTACTATAGTAACTTTCGGCATTCATAGGTTTATCTTCTTCTTCAAGCCTACAGTTAATATATCAAACGTTAATGTTTACACTGACTAAATGAGAAACAGATATGGCCAAATATACTTAATTTAAAACTTGGTATGAATATAATTTTGAGAATAGACTCCGAACAATGGGTCAGGTAAGAAATTTACCATAACTCAACTGGTATACCCACACTTTCAAGTAATGGTCAAGGGCAGAGGGAAGGGGGAGTGAACAGAATTTCAACTCAAGCTTCTTTTTCTGGTTGTCCAATTCCAGAGGACCTATAGTGGTAAGGCCAATTAGTGGTACTCTACTTCCATCCTCGAGTGCCACATACAAACTGAGATTTTGGAATAAAGAGAGACATTTTACTTCGTGAACCACACTTTAATTCACTACTTTCTTAATAAGAGCCCAACAAGAGAAACCAAGACAAAAAAATTAAACCAAAGGCATTAAACAGCCACATTTCAACCAAAGCTTAGAGAATGTATGTACAGAAGACCAGGTCTCAGATTAGGTTGCATGAAATGGTATTAAAATCCAAAAATGTAATATATTGAAGCTCATCAATCAATAGATGTGGTGGGTTCCATTAGTTTTTTTTTTTTTTTTAGGTTCCCTCCACCCGCTTTTCACCTGGTGATCCAGCCAGTAACAAACCTACTGTATTAGTGTTCCCACTCTGGATTAAGGAGCACAGGGGGCACATTTGGACAGCAGCATTGTTAGGGAGTTGGGAAACGGGAGGGTTAGATATACAGTTTTTCCTTTTTGGATAAAGATTTTACATAAATAAAAGGCTGATCATTAAAAAATAAACAAGTGATGTATTGCTGCTATAAGGTAACTATATATACAATGAGGACAAAACTGAATAAAACATCCATAAATAAGTCCATATATGTGATATCAATCAATTTTCATTCAGTGATAAACTTCAACAATTCATGTTTTTTTCTTCTTGTACTGAAATCCCAAACACCATCAAGTGAAATGTGCATTATACAAGTAGTGCCACCTCAGTGCTCACAGAACTCTCACCTCACATTATAAAGCACATGAAAATGTGCTTTATAATAACAAGTAGACAGAAGGATTCTTCACTTTTTCAATCCACAACCATGTGATAGTAATCAGACACCTTTAAACATTCAATAGAATGCAAATACCAGAGCTAGGGATCGGTCCCTTTAAAGGTAATGGAGGTCGCACATTTCTATTTTCATCAGATGAAGTCACGTGGGCGTGATGTAACACGAAAGGGGCGTGGCTCTGGTCAGACATGAATAGTGAGTTCAGGAGATAGGAAGCTCAGCCTGCACCCGACAGTTTTACAAGCTTATGGTGTTTTATTAATTTGCTATATGTGAGTGTACTACTGCTTCTTAATAAATACCGTATTTTTCGCTCCATCGGACGCACCTGACCATAAGACGCACCTAGGTTTTAGAGGAGGAAAACAAAAAAAAAAATATTCTGAACCAATGGACTGCAGACACAGTACAGGAGATGACCAAGAGACTGGGGACATAGTACAGGGGATGACCAAGAGACTGCAGACAGTACAGGGGGAGACTGCAGACAGTACAGGGGATGACCAAGAGACTGCAGACAGTACAGGGGATGACCAAGAGACTGCAGACAGTACAGGGGATGACCAAGAGACTGCAGACTGCAGAGTACAGGGGATGACCAAGAGACTGCAGACAGTACAGGGGAAGACCAAGAGACTGCAGACAGTACAGGGGAAGACCAAGAGACTGCAGACAGTACAGGGGGAAGACCAAGAGACTGCAAGGAGACTGCAGACAGTACAGGGGAAGACCAAGAGACTGCAGACAGTACAGGGGATGACCAAGAGACTGCAGACAGTACAGGGGATGACCAAAGAGACTGCAAACAGTACAGGGGATGACCAAGAGACTGCGGACCTTTGGGGAGAGAGGCAGGCGGGTACCTGTCAACTTCCGCGGAGTTGTCCTCCCTCTAGTGTGGGCACCTTGCTGTGACAAACGGGTGCCCACTGCGCTTTGTGAAGAGTCCGGTGTCTTCTGGGACCTGTCATTTGTCCCAGAAGATGCTGGACCATTCACAAAGTGCAGCACTTTTTGCGCATGTGCTTTGTGTGCACCAGGATGTCACAGCCGGGTGCACACACTAAAAGATGCTGGTGCTGGAAGACTGTACAGCGCTGGGCCGAGGAACAGATAAGGTTTTGCTGCAGAGAAGAGCCGAGCGGCCGGCCCGGTATTCTGACACGGTGGCAATACCGGACCGCAAGCTCCATAAGACGCACTGACATTTTCCCTTTTTTTTGGGGGGAAAAAAGTGCGTCTTATGGAGCGAAAAATACGGTACTTATGCTAGTACATACTGCATGATGGGAGTGTCCTTTGTTCCCTTTTAAGGATAGAAATGTGTAACCTCCATTACCTTTAAAAGGGACTGATCCCTAGCTCTGGTTAGGCATTCTATTGAATGTTCAAAGGTGTCTGATTACCATCACATGGTTGTGGATTGAAAAAGTGAAGAATTCTTCTGTCTACCTGATATTATAAAGCGCATTTTCATGTGCTCTGAAGTGAGAGTTCTGTGAGCACTGGGGTGGCACTACTTGTATAATGCACACTGTTTCACTTGATGGTGTTTGGGATATCAGTACAAGAAGAAAAACACATGAATTGTTGAAGAACTTTATAACTGAATGAAAATTGATTGGATTTCACATATATGAACATTTTATTCAGTTTTGCGTTCATTGTATTTACAGTTACCTTATAGCAGCGCAACATCAATTGTTTATTTCTCTTTATTGTGGGATCACAATTTGATGTTAGCAGCAGCCGCCATCATTTTCACATTCATTACACTTTGTCTTATTATATAGGCAGCGCAGGGGTTTCAATTTATTTCAAAAGGCTAACAACACAGTGTTAGAGTGAGCGCACTAAATGAGAGTAGATGCTGGCATAAAAAAGGATAAAACCTCTTAATCCTCAAAGTATATGTTAAAGCAAATATGCAGCGCTCATTGTGTGAAATAAAAAAATGGTAGTTAAAACACAATTTGATGGTAGAAACTTTTATAAAATACAAAAAAAAAGTATTTCATCAAAATAAACACAAGTGCAACGTATAGATTTAGATATAAATTTTAACATTATAAGTTGCACTTGTGTTTATTTTGATGAAGTTGATGACCAGGAGTCATTTTTACCTAGCTGGTTTGCCATCACAATTATCATCCATTCACTATTTTTCTTGATATTCTATTTTATATGCTTTTTTGTATTTTATGAAAGTTTCTACCATCAATTTGTGTTTTAACTACCATTTTTTTATTATTATTTCACACAATGAGAGCTGCATATTTGCTTTAACTTATTTCAAAAGGCTGATCTTGTAAGCATCCTTGCTCATGTGAAATGGTTTGTGTCATCCCTATAATTGATACATCTGCAGGAGAGCTTGTTCTTTTGAAAAACAGACTTACTGGCTGGATCATCAGATGGAAATAGAAGGAAAAGCCTAAAAAAAGAAAACTAATGCAGCTACCACATCTGTGCATTGCACAGTTACAATAAACTAAATGTTTAACAATTGCTTCAGCATTTCTTTAACCCTCAAAAATATAGCACCTCAATAATACTACAGACTAACCTAATCTCCTGTAAAACCTAAAAAAGTGACAGCGGTGGTAAAGGTCAAGCAACTTGTTGTCTTTACAAGCACATGTGCAAGTTCTTAAACAGATCTCTATATTCCAGTGTGGCCCCTTGAATCTTAGGCCCAGGCTGTACATATATAGCCTTGGCTCTTGCCCAAGTAGATATTCAACCCTATTTCCTGCCAGTGTTGGGGTGTCCTTCCACTGTTCAGTGCCATAATGTAGGTGGGCAGTATAAGATCTAGCATTCAAGAGTTTAATGCCAGAGGTGGATTTAATCTGGACATGGACAGAAGTTGAGGCCCCATTTGGAGCACTGGCCCAAGATTTAAGGGGCTTGATAGGAATTGAGGTAAAGACTAATACAGGTGTTTCGATGTACCACAACAATATGTATAATATGTATGCAATTCAGCACTTTCACTATCTTTAGTTCAGGTCAAGCTCAACTTATAGAAAGGCAATACTTGGCATCTTGATCAGAATGAATGGTCTGCCTTCATTCCTTTATACCAATAATTGTTTTTTTTTTCCAGCTCTAGTATGTAAGGCCCATGACTATTTATACAGAAATTTTAGGATAAATGCCCCCATCTTCTATTTAGGTGGGGTGAAGCCTTCATATTGTTTCCTTTTTTTTGTGTTTTGGTCAATTTCAAAATAGCAGAAAGGGATGAACTAGAAAAAAAACAAAACCAAAAAAAAAAAAAAAACAACAAAAAACAAAAGCCTGCTTACTGTCTCCCTCTTTCCACAAGGGTTTGGCAAAGGTACTTTCTTGCATTCTTATGCGTAGGACAACTTTCTAGAGCAACTTCAAAGTCATCAATTGCTTTATTCAGACTTCCTTTTGTAGCATATCTAGGAAAATAAAAGCATAATTTTAGAAACATTATTTCAGCATCAGATGCTATTATATACTTGATAAGAAATAGGCTAATTTATCAATGCTTTAAAAATAAATGTGATTTTTGGTTTACCTGTAGAACCCTATTCTTGGAGTACATCCCAGGACACAGTTTATCTTCATATCCATTACTATAGGGTTATGTTGCCACTTTCAGGTGACTGGACACAGCAACAAGCCAACATGGTGTACAGTGATGTTCTCCAAGAAAAGGATTTTACATGTAACCAAAAAAATCCCACTTGCTTTATAGTACATCTCAGGACACAAGGTATCTTCACCTTCATTACAATATGGATGTCTCAAAGAACTTAATAGGAGGGTAGAAAAACATGACAACAAGCTAACAGACCCTAAACAACTAAACCAGAACAGGTCAGATAATCATGCACCAGCCAAAAGGACTGCAGAATGAAATAAAAAACAAGAAGCGCACCAGCCTTGCGCATTACCTCAGTAACCAAAATTTATTACTTGTAAAAAAAATATACTCACAAACAGCGAATAAAATCAAGCATATAAGTCCTCACAGGGACTTGAAGATAACATGAGTCCCATCAAGGGAATGGGTGTTCAGTACAGCTGACGCGTTTCGAAGGGGATCCCTTCTTCCTCAGAGCTAACTGAACTGTGAGTGCTCTCTCCTATATATACACTTCTGGACTAGACCTAGGCCCTCCCTAATGGGTTGGGCAGTCTCAGGTTGATAGGAGGGGCCAAGATATTGTCAACAGACCATCGATATTTGCAATGCCATTAGAGAGAAATAACATATAAAATATAAAATGTAAAATGCATAAAAAACCACATTTTTTGCATACACCACTTAGTGTGCATATAATCCGTCAATTTAGCGATGACACCATAGGAGATGATGATCATGGCTAATACATGATGAAGCATGATATATTATAAATAATTCTTGTGTTCCATGTTTCATTAGTGAGCAATGTGTCCCATGGACACTTCATCCAGAGGACTTTGTTATGAAGCTGGATGGATATATAGCAATAAATGTGACAATAAACATAGATTATTAATAATGATTGTTAATCAACAAATGTCTTGATGGTTGAGTGTCCATAGTGACACAACCACATGTATATATATGTATAAACATATAGACATATACACCCACAATCAGACCTTCAACCCGAAGCTGTGTGTTTGTGCTACCAGGCAACTGCATGCGTTTCATGATCCGATGATGAAGATTAAATCAGTTTGATTTAATCTTCTTCTTCATCATCGGATCGGAAACCATCAAGACATTTGTTGATTAACAATCATTATTAATAATCTATGTTTATTGTCACATTTATTCCTATATATCCATCCAGCTTCATAACAAGTCCTCTGGATGAAGTGTCCATGGGACACATTGCTCACTAATGAAACATGGAACACAAGAATTATTTATAATATATCATGCTTCATCATGTATTAGCCATTATCATCATCTCCTATGGTGTCATCGCTAAATTGACGGATTATATGCACACTAAGTGGTGTATGCAAAAAATGTGGTTTTTTATGCATTTTACATTTTATATTTTATATGTTATTTCTCTCTAATGGCATTGCAAATATCGATGGTCTGTTGAAAATATCTTGGCCCCTCCTATCAACCTGAGACTGCCCAACCCATTAGGGAGGGCCTAGGTCTAGTCCAGAAGTGTATATATAGGAGAGAGCACTCACAGTTCAGTTAGCTCTGAGGAAGAAGGGATCCCCTTCGAAACGCGTCAGCTGTACTGAACACCCATTCCCTTGATGGGACTCATGTTATCTTCAAGTCCCTGTGAGGACTTATATGCTTGATTTTATTCGCTGTTTGTGAGTATATTTTTTTACAAGTAATAAATTTTGGTTACTGAGGTAATGCGCAAGGCTGGTGCGCTTCTTGTTTTTTATTTCATTCTGCAGTGCTGATTGGGCTTCCCCAGCCTTGGTTTGGAGCCGCACAGCCTTTTATGCATTGGTGGACGATTCCTTCAGGCCTGGTTCCATCTGTCTGCCACCTGTCTGAGTCCCAGAGCGCAGGAGAATTCTTTTTCGATTACCAGCCAAAAGGAACCAGAGGTCAAACATTCATGTGTTAAAACTTTGTAAAAGTGTGGACTGAACACCAGGTAGCAGCTATACAAACTTGAGCTACCAAAGCCTGATGTCCACTACCGCAGGAGGCTGTCTGAGGTTTAAAGGCAGAAAAGTTGGCCACACAATGTCCTGGACCAGATGGAACAAAGAAACCACCTTAAGTAAAAGGATGACTGAGGCAGTACATGGTTACATACAGTCAGGTCCATAAATATTGGGACATCGACACAATTCTAACATTTTTGGCTCTATACACCACCACGATGGATTTGAAATGAAACAAACAAGATGTGCTTTAACTGCAGAGTGTCAGCTTTAATTTGAGGGTATTTACATCCAAATCAGGTGAACGGTGTAGGAATTACAACAGTTTGCATATGTGCCTCCCACTTATTAAGGAACCAAAAGTAATGGGACAGAATAATAATCATAAATCAAACTTTCACTTTTTAATAATTGGTTGCAAATCCTTTGCAGTCAATTACAGCCTGAAGTCTGGAACGCATAGACATCACCAGACGCTGGGTTTCATCCCTGGTGATGCTCTGCCAGGCCTCTACTGCAACTGTCTTCAGTTCCTGCTTGTTCTTGGGGCATTTTCCCTTCAGTTTTGTCTTCAGCAAGTGAAATGCATGCTCAATCGGATTCAGGTCAGGTGATTGACTTGGCCATTGCATAACATTCCACTTCTTTCCCTTAAAAAACTCTTTGGTTGCTTTTGCAGTCTGCTTTGGGTCATTGTCCATCTGCACTGTGAAGCGGCGTCCAATGAGTTGTGAAGCATTTGGCTGAATATGAGCAGATAATATTGCCCGAAACACTTCAGAATTCATCCTGCTGCTTTTGTCAGCAGTCACATCATCAATAAATACAAGAGAACCAGTTCCATTGGTAGCCATACATGCCCACGCCATGACACTACCACCACCATGCTTCACTGATGAGGTGGTATGCTTAGGATCATGAGCAGTTCCTTTCCTTCTCCATACTCTTCTCTTCCCATCACTCTGGTACAAGTTGATCTTGGTCTCATCTGTCCTTAGGATGTTGTTCCAGAACTGTGAAGGCTTTTTTAGATGTCGTTTGGCAAACTCTAATCTGGCCTTCCTGTTTTTGAGTCTCACCAATGGTTTACATCTTGTGGTGAACCTTCTGTATTCACTCTGGTGAAGTCTTCTCTTGATTATTGACTCTGACACACACACCTACCTCCTGGAGAGTGTTCTTGATCTGGCCAACTGTTGTGAAGGGTGTTTTCTTCACCAGGGAAAGAATTCTTCGCTCATCCACCACAGTTGTTTTCCATGGTTTTCCGGGTCTTTTGGTGTTGCTGAGCTCACCGGTGCGTTCCTTCTTTTTAAGAATGTTCCAAACAGTTGTTTTGGCCATGCCTAATGTTTTTGCTATCTCTCTGATGGGTTTGTTTTGTTTTTTCAGCCTAATGATGGCTTGCTTCACTGATAGTGACAGCTCTTTGGATCTCATCTTGAGAGTTGACAGCAACAGATTCCAAATGCAAATAGCACACTTGAAATGAACTCTGGACCTTTTATCTGCTCATTGTAATTGGGATAATGAGGAAATAACACACACCAGGCCATGGAACAGCTGAGAAGCCAATTGTCCCATTACTTTTGGTCCCTTAATAAGTGGGAGGCACATATGCAAACTGTTGTAATTCCTACACCGTTCACCTGATTTGGATGTAAATACCCTCAAATTAAAGCTGACAGTCTGCAGTTAAAGCACATCTTGTTCGTTTCATTTCAAATCCATTGTGGTGGTGTATAGAGCCAAAAATATTAGAATTGTGTCGATGTCCCAATATTTATGGACCTGACTGTAGTTAGTCTGGCTGAAAAAAAAAAAAAAAAAAAAGACAAAAAGTCCATCCAGTTCAACCACAGAAAAAAAAAAAAAAAAAAAAGTTATAATGCTATACCCACAGTTGATCCAGAGGAAGGAAAAAAAACCCCAAGAAAGCATGATCCAATTTGCTCCTGCAGGAAAAAAAATTCCTCCCTGATCCCCAAGAGGCAATCGGATATTCCCAGGATCAACTTTACTTATAAATTTTAGTATCCAGTTATATTCTGTGTATCTAAGAAAGAATCCAGGACTTTTTTGAAGCAATCCACTGAGCTGGTCAGAACCAACTCTTGAGGGAGTCTATTCCACATTTTCACAGCTCTCTCTGTGAAGAAACCTTTCCGTGTTTGGAGATTACATTTCTTTTCCTCCAGACATAGAGTGCCCCCTTGTCCTCTGTGATGACCTCAGGGTGAATAGCTCTACACCAAGTTCACTATGTGAACCACTGATGTATTTATACATGTTGATCATATCCCCCCTTAATCTCCTCTTCTCAAGAGAGAATAAATTTGGTTCCTCTAATCTTTCCTCATAGCTGATCTCCTCCATGCCTCGCATCAGTTTAGTTGCCCTTCTCTGTACTTTCTCAAGTTCTCCAATGTTCTTTTTGTGAATTGGTGCCCAAAACTGAACTGCATATTCCAGATGAGGTATTACTAATGATTTGTACAGGGGTAATATGATATCTCTCTCTCTGGAATCTATACCCCTTTTAATGTGATCTACCAGAACTCCCAGATCCTTCTCCGCCATTGATTCCCCCAGTTGTACCCCCCCTAGTATGTATGATGCATGCATATTCTTAGTCCGCAAGTGCATAACCTTACATTTATCAACATTAAACCTCATTTGCCACATAGTTGCCCAATTAAACAGTGCATTGAGGTCGGCTTGTAAATTGAAGACATCCTGTAAGGACGTTATTCCACTGCACAGCTTGGTGTCATCTGCAAAGACTGAAATGGGATTTATAATCTCAGAC